CTCACTCACTCTCACTCACTCTCACTCACTTTCACTCACTCTCACTCACTCACTCACTCACCCTTTTGTCCTTTTGTGGGCAGGGTGAAATTTCGAGAAGGAAGTGGCTATGCCAGGTTCACTCACCCTTTTGTGGGCCATGCAGGGGTAAAATTTAGAGAAGGATGTTGCCATTTCAACTTTACTCACCCTTTTGTGGGCAGGGTAAAATTTAGAGAAGGAAGTGGCCAGTCCAACTTGACTCACCCTTTTGTGGGCCATGCAGGGGTAAAATTTAGAGAAGGATGTTGCCATTTCTTGACTCACCCTTTTGTGGGCAGGGTGAAATTTAGAGAAGGAAGTGGTCACCCCAACTTGACTCACCCTTTTGTGTGCAATGCAGGGCTAAAATTTAGAGATGGAAGTGGCTATGCCAAGTTCACTCACCCTTTTGTGATGCAGGGGTAAATTGCCATTTCAACTTGACTGACCCTTTTGTGGGCCATGCAGGGGTAAAAATTAAAGAAGGATGTTGCCCTTCCAAGTTGACTCACCCTTTGGTGAGCCACCCGAGGGTTAAAATTTAGAGAAGGATGTTGCCATTTCAACTTGACTCACGCACTCACTTTTGCCGATTTGATCTTGATACTCACACCCTGCCTCTACACTTTTCGAACAGGAGGCCGATTCTACCACTCGATGTGTCTTACTCCTGTACATAGATTTCCTGACTTTCGTTTGGCTCTGTATAATTCATTGCATGTTTTTCCGAGCGCTCGTGGGGGGGAGGCGCTGCGCCCTCCCCCCCAACCCCCCTCCCGCGCAACGAAATCTGCAGATAGTATTCAACGTTCCTGCCATGAAATCAGGCTTTTAGTGGAACCTTGGTAAACCTTGCCCACCAAATCTGCAAATGCTATTCAAAAGTCTTGCGACGAAATCTGACTGTAAGCGGAACCTTGCCTGTTGAACATTAAAGCTGCTGTTATTCTAGACAAAAAAGCCAATCAGCCAGGAACCAACAACTTAGTATGACACACAGGAAGATTTGAGCGGAAACTTGACTTTTAAAAACTAAAGCTGCTGCTGGTGTAAAAAAGAGGCCAGAAAGCCAGGAAGAGACAGGAAACGTGATTTAATATAATGCATTACAGAATTGACAAAATGTATGAAATAGAATGAAATTACTCCAATAATCAGAAAAGAAAAAACCATCAAACATTTAATCACTCACGTTAGTTCAGAATAATGTAGTACATACCTGAAAGCGTTAGCCGTGTCTGCTCATAGGGGGAGGCGCGTCCCCCTCCCCCCAACCCGCCCCTGTGCCACAAGATTCCTGCCACGAATTTCGACTCTGAGCGGAATCTGCCTGTTAGCCAGGAGGCCAGGCAGGAGGAAAGAGATTAGTATACAGGCCGACGCCCAGCCCAAAGAGGGTTCGTGGTAGAATTATTTTTTTGATTAAGTAATTAGTTTTTTATTGATCCCCTTGAATAATTTTTTATTGATGCGATAAATAGTTTTTTTTTGATACTTCACCCAAAACAATGAAAGCAGGATCTCTTTCACAAGTGATGTTTGTTCTGCGCCGCCTTTCTGCTGAACTAGCTCGATGTTCGAATCGCCGCTGTTGTGCGCCAGCGCCAAGCACTGAATGTAGTCCAGGTTGAGGGTGCTCACATCAACCAGTGCTCTCACGGAACCGTGCGGCAAGGCTTGCGAGCGCAAGAGTCATTGGATAGCAGCGGTGGAAGTGCTGGAAGTGAAGAGGCGCTGCAGTTGGAAGAGCTGAACCACGTTGCTATGCGGTGGCGGAAAGAAATTGCTCCTGGTGGGCAACTAGCATCCTACTATAGTTGGGACTGTGTCAGGTCCTTGGAAGCAACCAAGCCTGTTTGTTTGTTGGTGTGTTTAAGTGTGATTTGTGCGACAAGGCTGGGTTTGGAAGAGACATACTCCCTCTCCCTTAGTTTGGCAGAACGTGGGTGGCAGGAAGTCAATGCCTTGCTGAATGTGGGGCAATTCGCATCACCGGTCTAGGGCCTCAATCAACAGGAACTTTGTTCGGCCGGAATTCAGTGTTTTCAGCGTGTTCTGAAGGTCTTGTGCCACCTGACTGGCCAACCAAGGGCTGGTGAGTGAAAACAACATGTACAAAGCATGTTAAGCCAATGACAAAAAGTTGAGTAGTGGAGTTGTGGACGAAAACTGTTTGGCACAAGTGTCAGAAGTGTTCTGCGTCGACGAAGATCGGAAGCGCTTCATGGAAGGCTTGGGGCATGCCGCAACCCATCCTCAACCAACCGGTTGATACATTACATTGGACACTGCTGTTTGCGCTTGGTGAACAGCGAGTATCCAAAAATGCAGTGATTGTTGCAGGTAAAGGATGCAAATCAGGTTGATTCCGCTAGTGTATTCGAGGAAATACAGTTCGGCTTTCCAAACCGGAAGTTGAAAGCTGTGTTGATTCTGGGGCAGAACTTTGGACCGTGTTCCCTTGAAAAGCCAATGGTTTGGAGATACACTCCTTGCAGCAATCATGGAAGTGGATGGCATGGCATGGCCCTTTTGATGACCATATGCTCTACAAACTGGTTGTTCCCTTTCATCTTGGCGACTCGAAGTGTCGGATCAAGTGTTCAGAGGTCGGTTGGTTTATTGCCAGGTTGCAAGACGTGGCAAATCCCGGTTCAAGACGTCCACTGTCCCCTGTTTCAGGCCGCTACAGTTCTCTAGGGCTGCAAGTGATCCCGTTGGGACCCATTCAATTCCTGCCACAAATCTCCCCAGCAAGTGAACTGAACTGACGCGACTCTACTTAACTCCATTTCCACCCACCAGTTGTTCCACTAAAGTTCCGTTTTCAACCATGGGGCGACGTTCAACCGTAGGAAGCCCCATTAAAAAATGAGAACACAGTAAATTAAGAATGATGAAGACCTCACATGTGCTTTTGCCATGTGCTTTATTTCTTTTTGAACTCTCACACATCAAGGTATGCCATCAAGGTTTACAACCATTTTGAGCCTTGGTTTCGATGTGCATGGCCCTTCCACCTGTTTTCTGTTGATCTCACTCCACCTGTTCTCATTTCACTCCTCTGTGAACACTTGAGACGAACAAACATCCCCTGACTCAGACAGCGGAGCACCCTCGCCGACGCCGTGTGCTTCAACTCCGCCGTGAGCGCTTGCTGCAAGGGCGAGACGTGCCGCCCCTTGGGCGAACGTAGCTGGGACGAGACGACGGGCCAAGTGGGGTGGTTTGGAGGTTCTCCACCTGAGTCAGAAGACAGAGCAAATCAGCAAATCTTGAGGCAAATGCTTTGGTTTAAACATGGTTTGAACAAACCTGACTGCGCCAACATATTCTTCCGCCACCGCAAAAGATCCCAAAATATTGGTTATCGATGTCGATGTTTGTTGTTTAATAATTAATCCTGCAGGGTCATGAAACCCTGCTGAATCACTACTCGCGACATGTGTTCGCGAAAGCTTCGCGAAGGCTTGGGCGAATGTGAAAGCCCACTTGGAAGTCCCCCGCCCACCGGTTGCTACTAGTAACTACTAGTAAGGAATGACTGACTTGCGGTAGACTATTTGAGTGTAGTCCATGCCAACCACAGACAGAAACACCAAGAACGTACCAGGAACGTTGAGATGAGCCTTACAGCGAATGATTTAGAGTGCCCATGTAGGTGTAAGGACTAGATCCCTAGGGCTGTAGGGAAGATTCAGCTGAAGTGCTGGGCGATACTACCAGCAAATGCTGGCAAAAATGCTCGAGAATACTAGGGCATGATCCCACCTTAAAGTGAAAGGTCCAGCTGGGCAAGCCAGGAGACACATGCCGTCTCGCGGCATTCGTCGTGTTCACATGGTGCAGGTCCAGCTGGGGTCTTGGAGGCTCCTCAAGTTTGTTGTGAAAGAGGTTACTCACTGGAGAAGGCACATCCAGTTCCACCGGCATGCTGAGTACATCTATGTGAGGTTGGAGTCATGGTCTTCAAATCTTCGCAGAGCACATCTATGGGCAGCTCCTGGGACGGCGCTTCGACCCACCGACCCCGGTTGCGACAGTTCGACCCTTGGTCCCTCCGAGGGAGGATCCAGCACAAACACAGACCCATTGATACAGACACCCCTCTGTTGTGGCACCATGGTGTAACCATTGTTGGGAATAGCCGAATAGATCTGCAGGGCTACAAACAATTGGTCCTAAGGGATGGGTGTAGTTTTGCTGTGTTTAATGACACTCTTGAAAAGGGGGAATTCACAGGTCTACGAATTTTGAACATCACGTGACACATACCACTCATCTTACAACATGGTCAATGGCAGCGATATGGTGGGGTGGTTGCTGTCTTTACCCGAATCCCTGAAGCAGTACTGAAACAGGCCTTTGTGTTTTTGTGTCACTTGCTAAGCAGGTCTTCTTGACCACAACCATCGGAGCATTGAATCACTGGACGAGTTAGGTGTGCAACAACTTCGCCCGAGCAGGTCTGTTTGTTTGTTTGTTGGTCGACCCCCGTGTTGATTCAGTCTTGGGCGGAGTGCCAGTCGGAGGGTGGAGCTGCGTATCCGAGACAATCAATTCATGCCGTTCAAGATGACTTGTCCTTGATAATCCTGATATATCTACCGAGGTGAAGTATGTCACGCACAAACACACTTCATTTCAATGCCCGTACTTTGGCCATTCGCTTTGGGTCCATTATATAATCATAAGGCTCCTGTGTTGACATGAAGCATTCTTCTGCGATTCGCACTGAGAGGATCAGATCGTAGGCTGACTCGGGGTCGAATCCATTCCCCACTCAGCGGCAGTTCACGATGTCGCCCGGGCAAACTAGACCGCTGCGTCCTCTTCTCGACGCTGGTGGAAGGGTTAGGACGCGTTGAGGGGCGGGTTGAGATCATCCAGCCATTGAGCTTCAGAACAATCTGAAGCTCGTTGAAACTCAACAAACTGATCCTGAAGCCCAACCTGATTGCACCTTGGCCCAACCACCACCACCTGTTGATCTCTCGCAAACCACCACCTTGGCCCAACCTGCTCCTGTCGGCGAGACCCCGACCAATTATGCGGAGATCGCGGTAGTCCACCACGCTGAGATCTGATGAAGAGATCGCAGGGACTGCACTTCTAGCGGCCTGCCAACGCCAAGAGGAAAGCCAGGGCCAGTCGCAGTCGTCACTTGTGGTACCTGGTGTTGGACCCCACATCTCCGAAAAGGACATCATTCATATTCATTCATACCAGGACACCCTAAGGGGTGTCTATTAAAAGCCCCTTAGCCCTTAGCTGTTAAGGGGTGTCCATTGACCGCCCCTTGTGGGTCCTAGTATAGTTGTTGCCTATATTTCAGGCTTTGGCTGTTAGCTATTATGAAAGTTATGAAAGCAAACATTATTACTCCACCAGATCCGGATGAATGACCATCTCTACCACTGGTCCTGTGTGTTTCTGGAGTTTGGGTTCCTTGAGGAGTGGCCCTGGTGCTTGCAACTGCTGGAGTTCCTCGAGCGGAAGCGCGGCAGGGCAGACCGTGCGGCCTACACTGCTACACTCTTGGCATGCGCCAAGGTCGGTTGGGCTTCCGAGGGTGTAGGTGGTGGGACAAAGCAAGGACGCCTTTAACAGAAAATCAAAAAGAAAGAACTGCCTGGCTCAAGACAAAAGGATGGCAAAGCAACTCATGCTTACGATGATTCTCCTCATGTAGAACCCAAACATGACCATGAAATACCATGAATCGCTTTTTCCTCAAATCCCTTGAAACCTTGGGGCAGAGATTTGTTGAGCAATCCCAAATCGCTTCTACCCCGCGGGGGTTCCTTTGGTCCACCGTGCCGCGCCCCACACCGGGTCTGGTGGTGCATGGAGGCCTTGCAGATGGCCACGTCGACGTGGCTCCTGGACGCTGTCGAGTCGGAGCCCAACATGGTGGTGGTGAACGTCCAAGTGCAGCTCCACCAGGCAAGGGGCTCGACGCCCTTGCGACCATAAGATGCGTGGGATGTAAGAAGCCCATAAGAAGAGCTTGGAGTAGAAGTCAGTTTTAGAGTGCGGGCAGGATCGGGGTTGAGGGGCTTGTGCAAGTGGCGGAAGATGACAATCCGCAGATGTTTTAGTTTTGTTCTCTTCCTGACAAGTGAAAAGGTTGACCATGTGAACCTTTCTGGGAGGGTTGGACCAATAGGCCAAACACCTAGACTTCCTCAGACGCTTGGTTTTCTACAAGTAGCTAATGACTCCAGATGAGCAAACATGAACAAACTCAACAAAGAGTGTATTCTTTTTACCCCTTTCAGCTCCCCAACCACCCAAAACCACCGACCCAGGCGCTACCCCACCCGCCCACCAGGCCACCGGTCGTTGGACCGCTGCGCTGGAGCTCTTCGCCTCGTTGTCGCCGCGGCGCCTGGCACCGGACGCCGCGACACTCCTGGCGACCCTGGCCGCCACGGCGCGCGGTGGCGCCGGACGCGCGTGGCGCCGGGCGGCGGAGCTGTTGCGAGGAGCCCGCAGCAGAGGGTTGAAGCCAGAGTCTTGGAGTGCAAGGGGAAGATCAGGGCGAATATGCGTGAATTACAAGTGCTAAGAGATGAAAGAAGGGTAGATGGGGAGTTTAAAGCCACTGAGCGTGGAGGTTTGGTCATGGTCATTGCCCTTGGCTGAGGGGACGATGGCTTTGGGTGTATATCATAGGGTGAGTCCCAAATCTACATTTGCAGTGCACCGAAAAAGACCACTTCTGGGGCTTTTTCAAGCAGCGTGGGCAAGGATTGGTCGTTCCTGTCGCTGAGGAATCGGGCCAATTCAAGCAGTTGTTTTGTTACGCATTTCTATGTCATATGAAAAACTGATCTTGCAAACACTTGCAAACAGCTTGTGTTTTTAATCAACTTCTCTAGAACTATTCCAATCAGCTGAACATCCGGGCTCCACCGTCCGAGGATGTGGCGGTTTGCTCCGCCTTCCTTGCTGCGTCAGACGCTTGGGGTGTCGTTTCTGGAGTGGACATCAAAACATACTGAGTGAAGAACTAAAGAGGACTGTATTTACATACATATCTCACCAGCAACTTAGGACTTGTCGAACATATATGGCGATTCCAAAGGCCTATGACACCAGGTTTTTGCACCCAGACATCCTGTACTGTATTGTGAGCACAGATGACCTAGCCCTGTGGGTAGCAGTGTGAGTATGCTACTTGAGCCACATTTGCCTAAGTCACTAGACAGTAGTATAACTACAGTTGACAGAAGCAGTGCTTCATCAGAGCGGACATGGAAGGCTATGTTTGATCTATTGTTGAGACGTAAGCGGGAAGCGAATGTCTTCCAGCAGTAATAGTATGTAATAGTTCTCACCTGGAATGTTCTCACCTGGCAAAGCACAGCATGCTTGGAAAGATGTTCACCTGGCCAAGCACAGCAAATGAAATAGATCCAAGTGGTCATATTTCTTTGTGGTTTCGGACCTGCACTAGACAGCTCATCCATCTCAGAAGGCTTCTCCACCAAGACTTGCACATGCTTGCTTCTTCAGCGGTCAGGGTCCATGCACAGGTGTTCGGATTATCTTAAAGTAAACAAAGGCAAACAAATTCACCAACAGGAATTCGGGAGTTCTTAAAATGCTGTTTGGCAAACATTGTTACGCTAGTAGTAACAAGTGCCACGCTAGGAGTAACAAGTGCCTTACTAGTAGTAACAAAAAGCTATTAGCAACAAGTGCATCGCTTCTAGTAACAGGTGCCTTACTAGTAGTAACAAGAAGCTACTAGTAACAATGAATCTTCGAGAATTGATGGAGATGTCAATCGCGCTGACGACCTCCGTCTCAGGAGACGAATTGTGCGTGGAGCTGTGTGCTCTCAGAAGCCCTCCATGAAGCTCAACGGCGAGCTTTGGTGGAATTGACAAATTTTGGGAATCGGACAAAATGTAATATATATATAATATATATGCTTTATATATATATATATATGTGTTTCAGGACGAAGAATTTGGTTTCTTCTTACTGCGTTTTACCACATCTATCGGGATCAACCGCGGTCGAATTTTTGAGACGGTCTATGATTGCCAAGGAATTGCTGATTTGGTGTCCCTGGAATTTGATTTGGGATCCCTGAGATTGAGCCAACACATTAAACACTTCCACTGTTTTCCATCAACCCATCCATCCACCCACATCAACGGTCTACCGGCTATGGTGCAAATTGTGAAAGGACCTGATGGACAGCTGGCAGCTTCACCTTCCCTTCGACATGAACTACGACCGTGCCAGACCAGGTGCACAAGTCCTACATGTGGCCCTGGCCAGACTGATGCGGCAAGAGATCACCAAGAGCCGCTGCTTGCATGGCATCACAGTCCTCATGGATATGAGCACCTTCTACGACACGATTGATCTCCAAACATTGGCAAAGGCTGCTCAAGAACTTCACCACTTCCCCTTTGGTTGGCAATGCAGCTCTATACTGGACCCAAGGCTATCCTTGCAGAGGAAGAGCTTTCACAGTTCTTCTATGTCACCAGTGAGGTAGCGCCAGGATGCCCACAAGCAACTTTCCTCGCCAAGACCTACTTAGCCCCTGCTTTGAGACCCTTCGCACAGCAGCATCCCTAGCTCCACCTCAACGGATGGGTTGATGACATTGGATTCGACCTTGAAGCTACCACACCTCATAAAGCTGCCTCCTTGGCAATTGCAGGCTGGCGAGACCTCAAACACCGCCCTGACAGCCTTGGACTCAAAGTGAACGCAAAGAACTGCCTTCATCACCACGGAGCAGGCCACCACCAAGGCATTGAAGCCGCACTTGGGTGATGATGATCGCCCCAGTCCTACGTGATCTTGGCATAGACCATCAAGCCGGGAGGTTTAGACGCATACCAGTCATGAAGGGCAGGTTCGCCAAGAGCACCAACAGGAAGCTCAAACTTAGATCCCTGAGGTTGCCACGACTGAGAAACAGGCTCCGTCTTCACAGAGGCGGAATACAGCCAGTGGCTATGTGGAGTCCACGATACCGCACCATCTTGCGGCAGGCTCTTGGCACTCAGCTGGGGCATCACAAAGGAGGCCTCCTGGACATCGTCTACGACATCCATGCCTCTAGGTATCAAGACCCAGGTCGTTCTTCAACACATCAAAGCTCAAAGCTTTCAAGTCCCTCCTTGATGCATGGCCTCCGGACCAACTTGCACATATGGCTGGAGCATGGAAGCAACTTTAAAGCCACCTCAAAAAGCAGAAGCACCCCTGCTATCAGGTCAAAGGACCCATGGCGGCGGCAGTGATCTACCTGTGGGAATGGCAATGGAATACCACAGGCCTTTTCCACTGGAGCAGGAATGATATGGAATATGGGCCCGCCATTCATCTTGATCTTCATGAACCCGTGGAAACTTGAAGAACTTCTGCTACAAGAGTGTGGGCATCAACGGCTCCGCCGCCTTCGCAACCACAAACATTGCCACCACATGAGGAATGGTATGGATTGGGCCATCTACAAGAATGTCCTCAAGACCGCCAACAAGAAGGAGGCCACAGCACTGAAGACATGGGTCCAAGGAGCCATTCGACTCAAAGACAACAAAGACAGCACCAACTGTCCAATCTGCCATCTCCCGACACATCGTTTGGCTTTGCGCATGGTACCTTGGCAAACAGCACACTCCTGTGCCCATTGATTGGACCGAACAAGTCAACAACCCAGACGAAGACCCACTGTGGGCAGAGGATGGATCAACAAGGAGCGCTACGCGCACACTAATTACTGGGCATCCCTGGCCCTGAAGGAATGGGCACTGGCAGCGTCTCGAGGTTCTCAACTTGGCAGAACATCATGGCTATATGCCGTCACCATCGATGCGGCTCCCACAACATATGATGTCCGCTCCCAAGGATGGGTTTTTGCTGTTTGCATCCATACTTTCTCCATTGGGCAACTTCGTCGAGTGGCAGCTATCACAGGCCTTGCCGCGGGCAAGCAGAGCAAGGCCAGGGCTTTGTTCTATGGCCTTCGGATCCTGGCTCAACACATCCTGGACCATTGCCAAACAGCGATAAGGCTTTCAGGATCTCGCTGAAACACTTCACCGAACAAGGCAAGATCACGCCCTAAGGCCAGGACACCTGATCAAACTGGATCTGAGGACTACAAACAGATCTACACCCAGGCACTGGAGCGCATTGTGGCCATCGACCAGGATCCACAACACTTCATCCATGACAAGCCAGGTCGATATCGTGCCAAGAACACCAAGCAGTATAAGAAAAGATTCGATCGCAAATGCCAGGACAACCCTACTGAGGGTTTGCGCACATGGACACCACATCGAAGTTGCTATCAATGCGAACTCTGCCCAGACCGTATGCATCAATGCCTCACCGCCCAACTCCCTGCGATAAAAACAAGTCGTGATGACAACAAAATATTATGACAACATTTTTGAGTTTACATGTTCAATATAACACGCTCTGTGTGTAGATGTGCTGACTGTTTAGGAGAAAAACACATGCAGCGGAGAAGACTGTGTTATGCTGGTGAAGCACCTGGTGAACTCAAGCCCTTTGAGCCAAAGCCCATTTGTTTGTCTTCCAGCTGACTACCTTTCCTACCTCACTGATTCTTTGAAAGTACTCCCTCGAAATGGCCTTCACGAACGTGCCAAGAAGGAGTCACTTGGGTTTAACTTTCATCACTTTCAGCTTATTCTTATAAACTTTTGGTTCAAGTATGGCAATCATGGGTGGACAGCTTGCCATATGGTTGGTGGAAAGAAATATCAGGGATTGAGTCCAACCAAGGGGGAAGTTTCAATTGCGTCACATGCACCGCCAGGTTCCTCAAAACAGCGTTGGAGATTGCGAAGGACCCATGGCTCTTGACAAGGGCCACAAACAATTTGCGATCTTGGACTGATCCCCAGAGCTCACTTTCAGTAGAGTTGTTTTCTTTTAGATAGTTCCATAAACATGATGGGAAAAAGCTTGTTTTTCCACCAGCATGGGCTTGGATTGATCTTTAGAGTTCACTTTTGGACAGGTGTTTTCTTCTACATGGAGGGGAAGGTCTAGCGCATCAACCACCACCGTCTTCCATCCTAGGATCAAAAGGAACGGGAGTGCTGGCCACCTGTCCCAGAGCCAGAGTGGTGATTTTCATCAAATGGTCGGGAGGTCGGATTGGTGCCCACGCCTGAAGGGGTTCCTTGGAGATGTTCTGCAGAGTTTGGTTGGTCTGGTGATGTGTTCGAGGTACATTGTTTTGCATCGTACCAGCCCTCAAGTGTTGGGTTGAAAATTAACTGAACAGTAACAAGATTCAGCTTCTAGGTTGTGGCCTTATGCCGAACAAGGTGGGAGAAATTTGCTCCTGGACCTGTTCGTGTGGTCTCCATTGTCCCCGACAAGACTGTTCCCAAGCACAGGACTGACCCCACTGCGCAGGCTGAGCCAAAGAGAAGGGGTAGGAAGCGAAAGGAGCAGGGTGACCATGTTTTCAGTGGTCAATTGGTGGGTGGTGGAAAGGTTGCAGTTCCCCCAGTTTTTTTTTGGCGGTGGGGGTGGTGATGCCCTGAGCCTGCAGCAGGCCAGGTCCAAGTCAGGTACCCATTGCCAGCCCTCAGCCAGAGTGGCCAACCCGCGCAACCTTTGCTGGGCGGACCAAGACGGGGTCTGTGTGGGAAGAGCGCAGGGCTACGTTCTACAAGTCCATCCCAGCAAGCCATTGGAAGGATGGCGAGAAGCGCAAGCTTTGGCGCCTATGCACTGCTGAATCCAAGTTCATCCAGCAGGAAGTCCAATCAGCTGATCCTCAGATTCAGCCAGCTGCTAAGGGTGCCAAGGCAAAGGCAAAGGCCAAGGCATCAGCAAAGGTGAAGAGAGCGCCAGCTGAGCCAGGTCGTGAACCGGGAAGGGGACGCGGGTGGGCTGTCTGTGGGAAAGCAGCCTGTCGCCCGTGAAAGGTTAATTTGATATCATTGTGTTCATGGCACGATGCAAAGATCCATCAGTTGGGGCATTGGGGTTTTCAGCCAGGACAAGTGTGAAATAAGTTGCCAGCCAGGCTATTTGCGGGTAAGCCTGCTTTCATGTCAGGATCAATGGAAAGCTAGAAACGTTGGCCGCCAAAATGAAAGAGTCCAATCTACTTTCAAGCTTTAGTCGCTGCATGTTCAACAAGTGGCCTGACAAGTCTCTTCAATCTTCAGGTGAACAAACAGCCACTTTCTTCAACCCACTATGACGATATGATGAAGTGGTTCCAAATGAGAATATTTTTCGAACATAGCCAACACTGTTCATGACTGTCCGTTCTCCAACATGTCCATTTCGTGATATTCGGTGCGTTGCCAACCGTGAGTTCCTGCAATCATTGCTCAAAGGGTGCAATTCATGTATTGCTTGCAAAGTCTTACACGTCTACTTTGATCTGATCATCAAGGTGTAAATATATAGTCGACATTTAGTCAACATATGTTACAAACTTGTTTGAGGCACATGATCATTTTGTGGTGCATGCGTGTGTGTGTGCGCGTGTGACGCAATTGACTTGCCCAGTGATGATATTGGACCCACTTTTGGGGCTAGCTCTGCCCAATGTGCACGGGCAGTCCTCAAGAGGCCCGCACCTAAACTGGCCAAGTCACATGAGAGAAAGGTCCACGTCAAACCACTAAGCTCCAAGAGGAAGAAGAACTCCTTGGCTGGTTCAGCTTCTTCACTGCCATACCCAGGACAGAAGGACCTGGAGCTGCCACCAGATATACTGGGGATGATTGGGGTCTGGACGACTTGCTTTTGCTTGGTGGGTCCTCTTCTCATCTTGGTAGCCCCCAGTTTAGAGTTGGATGATACATGGCTGGCCTATGACAGTGACCGGTCAAGAGTCGCAGCTAGAAAGATTGAGTCACAGGTTACCATGCTGATGTTCAATGCGCCCTGTGGGAAGTGTGTTTAGTGCCTCGTTTGGGGCCCATCGTCCGAGAGCTTGGAGGGACACGCAGATGCTCGTATGATTTGCGCAACCAGCCACATGCGTTGGTCCTATTACCACCATGCACATGGGTCAACATGCTTTTGCATTCAAATTGGGGTCATGAGGCTGCTGGAAGCCTTGGCCCACATAGACTTCTCTTAGTGGCTAGTACAGCTTCAACAAAAGTATCGCCGGCACTTTGTTTTCGAACACTCTGCTCAGTCACTTGTATGGGAACGAGCAAGTGTATCTTGAAGGCCATTTACTTAAAGGTTCTTTTTCTCTTGGTGGTTTTTGCTGAGATAAGAGCACGGACTAAAACTACACAGTGGATTGGGATACTAAGTGGTTCGATGATGGGTGTCCAATGTTCTTGGGTTTCATCATATGAAAGTAGCAGGCTTTGTTTGAAGAGAATTGATATGTTATGTCAGTCAAAAGGAACAGCAACATAACAATTCAGCACACCGTCAGGGTACCAGTGGGGTAAATTGCAGGTCTTGTGCTTACGAAATCACCATACTAATATATTCAAGAACATTCTCTCTCACACTGAAGGTGTCCCGGAGTTCACATTGCTGAATTTGATCAGCGACGATCTGGTTTATGCTCAAAGGTGTCCAGGACACCTGTTAAAAAGCGGACACGCCTTCTGACAAATAGTTAGGAGGTCTTCCAGGCCTTAATTTAAGCAAGTTTTGTTCCCAGGACAATGTGCACCAAGTAATTTGTGGGTCAGAAGGGGGCATGAAGCTATGCGCATCCAATTTGCACCACCCTTGCAAGCGCTTTGCTCACTGAGGAGCACAAGGCTCAATAGTAACACTGCTTTAAGGCTATAGCGTGCTGCAAAACAAAGAATCTTGATTCCAAACTTCTTGGCGCATCATGGTGTATCCTTGGATTACAAGAAGCTCAACAACAGGGTTTTGACACCGATGATTTTCCATGCATTTGATTTGGGGATTGATTTTCAATTGATTTCGATCGAAATCATTTGATCTTGGCAGGAGATCTTGGCGGGAAAATTGGCGGCGGTGTAAAGCGGAAGTAGCCAACGGTGTTGTAGACACGTAGCTATGGTTGCAGGTCGTCTTCCAGACCACAAATGGTGCTATGGCGAGAGACTGGGGACGGGCTTTTGCCCGTGATGGCTTGACTATGAACCAAGAGTCGGTATCGCGTGATTTATTCCGTGCATTGGGATGGGCAGAGATGCCTACTTTGTCTAGAGAACCCCCCACAGCAGAAGAGGCGCAATGCCTTTTCCCAAAAAGATTAGATTAAACATCGCTTCTTATGTGTTGTGGGTACCAGTTTCCCACCGACAGAGGTCCAGCACAGCTCGGCCCAAGGCCAGGGTTGAGCATGTTCCACCGGAGGCGCTGCCAAAATGGCGGAAGCTTCCTGAAAGTTTCCAACGCGTAGTCATCCGCACGCTGGATTGATAAAAGCTGTAATGGAGGAACTCTGGAGGCCCCACGCCACGAAGCTAGGATTTGGTTAGGTTTTGGGGTCTTGAATTGGGGTCTGTAGTAAGATGCTCGTAATTGGTCCGCGTTATGCGCCGGTTTTGCAGAGGCACTGCTGCGGGAGAAGCTAGGGGACTTGAAAAAGAAGAAGGCGGAAACGCAAAAGGCAATTAGGGAGGTTGCCAAACAGGAGAAAGTGGCCTTGAAGCACCGTAGTCGCTTGCCGAAGGCGCACTGAAATCGGACCGTACCTTAACCTTTTCTTCTTTTGGGTTTGCAGTGTGCCGGTAGGCTGCTTAGCAATTGTCTATGGACGACCTGCGAGCAATTGTGACAACCGGAGAAATAACGGCAGTAGAAGCAAAGAAGGTAAAGGAGGCAGGTGCTGAAGAGGCCGGCCACACATGGCATCGCTTTGTTTGTGTGGTATGTTGCGGGGTCTAGCAGCAGGACCAAAAAAAGCAAGGGTCCAGACGCGAAGGCCGCGAAGGCGGAGGCCACCTTCCACATGTAATCTGTTCCTGTCACGCGGGAGTGTTCTTGGTAGGCGGCGCAGAAACCGCAGAAATAGGGTCTTCGATGTCCACGTCTTACACATGGAATGTTACCTGTAGGCTGAATAGTATTTCATTTGAACACCGGCAAGCCTTGTTAGGACCTTCTTTCAATGGGGATTGCGGTGCCTTCTTGGGACCTTCTAGGCTTCTCGAAAGCTGGCCTTTGTGGATTGGGCCCGGCGCCCGAAAAACGCAAGGCTTGGTAAGACAACCTTTGGGATCGGGTCGTTTCATCGCCAAACGTGCGGGGTGTTGTGTCGATTTTCTTTGGTCAATCGCCCTGCAAACCTTGGTGGACCAGCAATTTCCTCCTTAACTTGCATGTGTATTGGTGTTGATATACAGTGGTTTGTTGGCCGCTGAGGTAGCAAGGCCTTCTATTTGAAGCTTCTGAAAGAACGGTAGGTTGTGTATGGCAGACGTTACAATGCAACGTAGGATGGGGTTGAGAAGCAACAGACAAACTTTTGAAATTCCCGTTGACATTTCCTCTATGAAATGGGTGGCCTTGAGGCCCATATAAAATGCGTGTTTTATAGAGAAACATTTTTTTGAAAAAGATGAAAATCTGTAATTTATAGAAAATTAAGTGCTTTCTACTTACCATAAAACCATGTTAGATATCCTTCCTTTTTATAGAGCGCAAATGTGTGCTATTTCGTTATGGCAGTCAGAGGTAAGAAAACATTTTATAGAGCGAATATGCGAGAATAAAAAACAATAAAACCATCATTTTATAGAGATAAAGTCTGCACGTGACGATAGAGTCATTAACTAGACAAACATTTTGTCGTGAACAAAATAATACCGTACAATAGCATTGTATAGAATCCCAAAATCCAGTCCTAAACTAATTTAGCTTTATTGCTCTTGAGGCATCCAAAGATTACGTCATTATAAAATCACAAGAACACACAAGACACACATACAATTTTTACTAAACATATATTATAGAATGGCTGTGCATCTGATTTTGTAGTGAATAAAACAGGTGAAACACATTCATAGTTATTTTCTAGAGCTTTCGTACTTCCTTATCCTCTCTGTACCAAGTTGCGTGTTTGGTTCTTCCACAATTCTTTTGGGATTGGAATGGTCCTCTAAAAAGGTTCTTCTTTTTAAACTATTAATCCAAATCCCCTTTATAAAATGTTTTCCATGTTTTGAATCTACATGTATGGATCACAGGACATATCCTCTATAAATTGTTTGTTTGCTTTCTTAATTTTTGACCCAAAACATAAGGAACCTTAGAGAATCGTTTTATAGAGGACCATTTTGAGCATGCTTATCTTGGTTGTTAGTATGGTACTCGACTGATGTTATCAGAGTCATACTCAATTTATAGAGTGCATTTTTCTCCGGTACTTCTTCATTCTATAGTGTTTTTGGTGGTGCCCGCCAAATTATATCTATAAAATGACTGACACAACCCCTCCTAGTGAATCTTCATGGGGATCTTTTAATTTTTTCTCGGATTTTCTGAGCAAAACCTTTGTTAGATACGTTGTGGTGAATCTGCGGTTGTTTTTGTCCGCCCATATGTAGCCTTAAGAGCTTCCAAAATGATTCGCCCAAATGCTGCGGAGTTGGAACGCAGGGTGACAATTGTTGCAGTTTCGACGTATGCGGCAGATTCCGTACATGAGTCTGAGGTTGCCGAGTTTGTTTTCTTGATTGGTCATAGAGCATATTTGTTTTCAGACTCCGCTGTCAGGCTGCATGGCCGTGACAAGGTACTGAAACCTCAGAATAGTACAATAGTATAGGAAAACGGCAAAAGGAGAAAGGGAAAAAGAAAAAGGAACGAAAAGGAAAGAACCATGGAAAAGAAGCGTGGGAGGGAGCAGGCGAGCAATAAGACTTTTAAAGCATGTTTTGTGAGCAGCAGACAAATGCAGTTTGGCCAGGCCAGCAACATTTCTTGACCTGTGAATGTTTTGAGTCAGCTCTTACGTCCTTCCTATGTCGTTCTGAAAACTTCTGAGAATTGGAAACAACTGCAGAAGTCTAGCAGCAGCACTAGCAACAACAACAACAACAGCTCCAGCAGCTCAACAGGCCCCTGAAAAGGTCCGCGCTAGACACCTCTCACAGTTTTTGCAGTTGACATGCCTTCATATTGAACATCCCTGTGGTTTGAGTGTGGTTGGAGTTTGAAGGAGATTTAGAAGCGGGCCCCCGTAGATTGTGCGATGAATGCACCATTTTGGAAAACACATATTGGAAGCCAACCATTTTGTGAGCAGCAGACAACATTCAGTTGAGACGGGGAGTTGCTTTGAGCTCTGTTTCTTTGGGCTTTGTAGCGCCCACTTTGCGGAGAAGAAGGGGTGTGTGACACGTCTGATGACTTGATGTTTGTGTTGATTGACCCAAATGTTTGGCCTGGTAAGGTTGCTGTAACTAGGAACGTGTGCAGTGTTTAGACTCTCAGTGCTGTGTGTGCGCGTGTCACAAAATACCTTTCCGTTTGGATTTTTCTGGGGAGCGGTGCGCAGTCTTGGGGTCACCCCTCGAAGACAGTCCTTGTAGGTGAGGGGGCGCCTTCTAGACGTACATGCTGTACAAGATATAGGCATTTTTATGTTGTGGCCAACAAGATTGGATCCTTGCCACTGGGCGGGATTTGGGGCGAGTGGCGGATTAAAATTCTCAAATTGAGGTCGAAATGAGAACTGTGCCCGATTGAAACCTTTTAAAATAGTATTATAGTACCCCGAGTCCCGACAGGGTCTCAACGGTCTCAAACACCATAGGAATAGGCACGGAAGGGGGGTCTCAAAGTGGGTCTCAAGATGGTAGGCTATGGGAGAGCGGGTCTCAAAACGCAATAGAAATCAACGAGAAAGAGGCCTCAAAAGTGGGTCTCAAGATCGGGAGAGCGGGTCTCAAACGCAATAGAAATGAGTGAGGAAGAGGGTCTCAAACTTGGTCTCAAACTATGAGAGAGCGGGACGAGTCTCTGAGGACGTGTGTTTACCATGTCGTCAGCAAGTTTGCAGGATTTCATTAATACATATATATATATATATGAACTATGTGGCCGCCAAATTGGCGAAGTTGTTGTGTTTCCAGAGCCTCCTCTGTGGGCCTCCATTGTAGTAGCCACTGTAGATTTGAGCGCTGCCTGCGGCAGCAAGGAGCTGTGGATGGCTTGGTTGAGCTTAGTGGCCCATGCTTTGATCTTGCATAACAAAAATTTAATCCATCGTGTCAATCGTATTGTGGTGAGGCAAGATTGAAGACTTGGTTGCTTCCTACCAGGTAAGTCCAATTCCAGCCGCGGGTCGGTTAGTTTTGTGTAGGAAAGGGGCAGGTTTGCGTGTCGATGGAAGTGAGCGTGCTTAGACCCAGATTGTTCGAAGCAGACTGCGTGAGTTTCACGGTGCCTGTTGTTTGATGAGGTTGGAAGCCTACCCTTGGGTTCCTGGTGCTCTGTGCCCAGGAAGGCCCCTGCGCCGGCCATGCATTTTGGAAGTGAGATTTTTCTGCTTATTGCATCTTGCGTCACTGCAGCTGATCAGTGATTGTTGTGTGTAGCCATGTGGGGGAACCTTTTGCCCGATCATTTTGTCTGCAACTTAGAAAGAAAGGGGGGCGTGCAGTGTAGACACCTGCTGTGACAAACCTGTAAGTAAGGCCATGGCTCCTAAAAGACGCCGTACGACGTCGAACGAGACTAAGAAGGCGATGGATGTAGGGCAGAAAGGTGTAAAACGAAGGCTCACTTTTAGGGATCGAAAAAACACGAGTTTTGTGGTTTCGACCTGCGGGGCCTCCCTTGTATAGTTGGTACTTACAACGTCGGTGTCGTTAGGGAATAGAAATATAAAATAATCCCTATTAAGAATAAGGGCCGCATATTCTTATAAGGGGTTCTTTGTGGATGTGAAAACATTCGTTAGCTATCATATAGTAAAATCGAAGGTTTCGATATTTAGCTCGGGAATAAATATATATATGAAATGAATATCTGGGATTTAAGTCCCTTCTTCTATTTTTGAGCTAGTTATGGATTTGTTCCCCGTCCGATCCGCCCCATATTCTTTTCGGGTTAGAATTTTGTTTAAAAAGGTTCATTATAGACGTATTAATTTTCTTTTTTCTTGTTATTTATTATTTGGTATAATTCTTTATTTCTTTAATATGAAAAGAAATATAGTTAATATAGCTAATGTTTATAGCGTCGGTATCGTTAATTAGGAATTACGAAAGAGGAATATAAAATAATTCGTGTTAAAATTTTATATTTTTAAATTTAGTTGCATTATTTAATCATAATTAATTATATAAAAAATATATTTATCGAATTAAATATAGAATGTTGATTGTCGTGTAAATTTTGGGGGAAGGGGTTTATATTTTTAATTTATAAATATAAATAATAAAAAATGATGGAGTTAATTCCTAGTGGTATTTTAATTTGAAGTTTGATTTTTATAGTATTTATATAAAATTATTTTATTTGATGTTGATTTTTTTTATGTAATTGATTATAAATTGGTGGTATTGAATGTTTGATAATTTTTTCTTTTTTAATTATTAAAATATGTTTGTTTGATATTAAAAAAAATACCTATATGTTGATGTTTGAAGATTTTGGTCTTTAATATTTTGTTTTTTTGATTTATTATTTCCTTGGTATTAAAATTGAAATGGAAATGTATTTACGACACTATATATATATAATTTCTTTATAAAATTTAAGAAATACGGAACATAAAATAAAATATATATAAATACATCTCCCCTATATATATGGATGAACTTAAAGGTATTTGAGGCAATTATAATCCATCGCGATTTTAACGGTATTAATCGCGGAAGAATATTTTCGTTTGAAACACTATTTTATGTAAAAAATCATCAAAATATTATTATATATTATAGTATTTAGAAACATGGCATAAGTTAGGGCTTACATACGCGGGTTTAACAATCGTGGAATTCGTCGATATATGTTTAAGAATTGAATTAATCTGGCCTAATACTATATTGTTAAGAATTAAATTAATCTGGCCTAATACTATATTAAACATTATTATTAAACACAATATTTACCGAATATAATTTGAAATTAAAATTTAATATAATTAATATTCCATATAATATTAATTTCTCCTTCTATAATGGTCGATTCTAATACGATAAATATGTATATTCATCGAGAATCAATTACGATATAAGATTTTACAATCGCAAATGCTAAAATACACATGCCCTTTCATAATTCTTAAATTTGTATTTATAATCGGTTCCCATATAATTCCATTCATTAAAATTAACGATAAAATATAATCCCTCAAATTATTCTTTTATAAAATAAAAATATCCAATCCTTTTATATCATGACCAAACACCATACAAAAAAAAATATTATATGTTTTTTCTTCATAAAACAAAATTTCAATAAACCGATAATTATTTCTATTCGAAAATAATATATATTTTGTAGAATATTCAATTAATAATTTAATATAATTGGGTCCATTATATATATTATAAATTTAATACCATAAAAATATTATATTAAAAATCATCTAATTATAAATTCCATATAAATTTATTAAAAATATTTCAAAAAACACAAAACAATTTTAATATCAAAATAAAAAATAATTAATAAATAATAACAACCGAATCTCATTTTCCCTACCAAAAAACAATATATAATTTAAATATAAAAAATAACAAACAATATTCAAATATTAAATACCATACAAATTCATATCATAATAAATATATTTTTATTTTTAAAATTACTATATTTAACATATTTTAACTAATCAATTAAATAAATAATTTTTTGGTTTTTCAAATAAAATTCATAAAAATTAATTCTACACAAAATTTACCTATAAAAATATCATTATATAAATATACCATAAATAATTCATTATAATATAATAAATCCACACAAACCCAAATATATATATATATATAAAATACTAAATCTAAAATCATTATTATAAAATCACCAACCACAACGCAAAAAAAGACCAAAAACGCGGAAATTAGATCGTCTCATTTATAAATCTCACCCTACCCATCGTATTTGTGCACACCCTCCCCAAAGAAAAAAACAAACCATAAATCCATTTTATAAATATTTTCACCTCCAAAAATCCATCGTATTTATCCCCGCCCTCCCAAGAAATAGATGGCAAACCATTTTATAAATACTTTTTCCTGCCAAGGCCCATCGTATTTATCCATACCCTCCAGCTCTTCGGCAGAGGGAATGGTTTATAAAATAGTTTTCCCCTGCCAAGGATTATTAAATCCATTGCCAAACATGTCAAAACCCATGTTATACACCTTTAACCATAAAATGGTTCTATTCTCTCACACCATTACTTGTTTATAGAATGAGCAACCAACATCCAGTTATCTCTATGTTAAAAAACATATCACTGTTTATAAAATGTACACAGGAGCCAAACCGACCTTTTTATGAAATTACGAGACAAGATGCATAGGCGTTTTTTTTTTTTAAACTTCCGATTTCCGGAAACATTGTGCTTTTTATATGTCATTTTATAGGTCACCAGGATCCCCATTTCATAAGGACCTGTGCAAGGGGGATGGATTAGGAAGTAAGCCACAACCAAATAAGGATCATTTCAGGCTCTACCTCCATTTGCTAACATTCCGGGTGTTCCGCAACTCGGAACGCTCTCATCATTTCTTGTAACTGTTAAGAAGCTTTTTGTTGAGTGCCGTGAAACCATCGATTGCAGAAGGGACCATGGCTCATATTGATCCTGCCTGTCCTTCCACAACCCTCAGTTAAAATTCTGGCAGAAAACATGTTCGCCACGATTTGGGGCAAACATTCGAAAACAAAATTGCCAAACCTGCTGCTGAATTACGCCTTTGTTGCGCATGGTCGATTTCTGGGACAGGTCTACAAACCATCACACACAGACATTCCATGTATGGTATATTTACATACATTGGGGTGGTTTCCGGGCCAGGTACAATGACTATTGCATACATGGAGTGTCTGGGTCACTGTTCACACTTCACTTGCATAGTCGGATAGCCTTACCGCGCAATGTAAGCTCAGTTGGTATGGCTAACTTGGCTGCCAATCTATCTCCCGGCAGACACAAAACAGGCATGCCCAACCCAACCCAACGACCCATGAAGTTCTCCTTGAGATAGTATCTCCATGCACAGTCTGCCCCACCCTCCAAAAACCCTCTAAAACCCCACAATGAATGGTGTTGGTCAAAGGAGCTTCACTGTGCGTAGTACAAGGCAGGAGGGTGTCCTCATTGTTCATATCATTCATTCAACAAACCAACTAAATATCTCAATACACTCTCTTAAAAACTATATAAGGGGTTTGCACCCTAAACAAAAAACAAATGGATCAAAGATTGGGGCTGGGAAGCCTATGCCGGGAGGGCGCTCCTGAAACTACTTCTGTCGCTGACGATCAGGATGTTGCCCACCTGAGAGATGGGACCGTCGATGGCTTCCCCAGTGGAAGTGATGGGAGAAAGTGATGAACAAAGATCCTGCCAAATGGGACAAAGTCCCCAAGAGGAGGGGAGAGCACATATTATGTGTTATACACATATGAATCAAAGCCTCAAAGCTGCCGAACAGCGCAAGATCAGCATGTCCTAAGACTAAAGACCAAGCACACAAGCTTTTACCACAAGAGGCGGCACATGGTGGCATCAAGATTATGTAGACTCATGATTAGTAAAACACCCTCATTGGGACTGAAACACCTCGTCATATGGAGGCTATTGGTGTTATTGATGAGCAGTCTACATTACCTGCACAGCTGCAAGTTTTCGATCTTCAGAATCTCCTCTAGACTCTAGATTCACCACTCCTTCTCGTATCTACGAGTACATCTGGGTGTTGCCTATGTCTGTTGTGATTCTTGCTCCTGATATCGGATGCTATACTTCCAGGTCCCGGTGCCCTGATGTCACGAAGCTGGAGTCAAAGAAGCTCGAAAGCTCCAAACTTCAAACCTTGAGTTTATATTTATATATATATATACTAATATACCCTCCCTCCAACATTCATGGAATGGAAGCGGAAAAAGATGAAAATGACCTGTTCCTGGAGGAAAACTGTCTTCCAAGAAACCATGTTCCTTCCTCCTACCAAGAAACATCAAGAAACTGTCCTCCAACATGTTCCATGATGTTCCATGCTATCATGTTTGTTGGATGGAGGGTCAATTACCCTCGTGCTCGTCACAAAACTCATCACCTTCCGAGATCTGCAGAGTGGAAGATCTTCATCCTCACCCCCACAAAAGATGTCAGGCAACATCACCTGTCTAATGCCCCAAACGTCGAGAAAACACGTCGGCCTCACTTCCCGGTGGCTTTGTCTGAATTGTAGGGTCCATTTGGGAGGATCATCACACCAAAGAAGGACTGGACACGGAGAAGCTGGCTGGCTTTGGGAAAAGAAGTAGACAAGAACCAGCCCCATGCTCGAACCCCCAGATCTCCACGGCCCACCCCATCGTTGATGCGCACGTCACTGCCCACCTCAGCGGCGTGGCGTCTGCCCGTGTCTGCCATCTGAAAGAGGGGACGTATCATAGTCAATCTGGACCAACTCGGAGGAATTTCCAGATGTCATCATGATTTCATCCTGTTTCATGCCGTTTCACACCTTCCAATTGCAATATTGACATGTTCCACATTCCAGCTCTGGTTGACTTCTTGGACGAAGCTGCTTGTCCTTCCCATGCCACAATGCCCATGGGAATCTGCTAACCTCCTTCGCTCAGGTGTTCTGGACTCGGAACCCCAAAAACTCCGAAGTGGCTTCAAAGAGAACAAACCACCACAGCCTCTAGATGGCTGGTCACCTGAAAGCCCTGATGGAATTTTCGGGTTCCCCGCAACCAACGTCCCGGTGCCCGGTCGAACACATGAGGCATCACGTCCCGGTGCCAGTGTCATTGTTTGTTGCTTACATGAAATCAATCGTGTTAAATCCAAGGCAAAAGTAAATGCTTCGCCGTCGCAAACTGTAAGTTACAGTATGTTCTATGAAACCCGCGAACCGCCTTTGGACAGCTTTGGGGCCCAAACGGCTCCAATCTATTCAAAAGGACGCCGCACGACGACGCAGATTCTTGATCGACCTGCGTCCATAATTTGGTCACGGGTATGTTACTATATGTTACAATGTTCACCTGAAACATATGAACAATGTGTTTCATGACCATATGCTATGGCGACATCATTCAGTCCATCTTTGTTTTGGGATCCCAACTCCGGCTCTCCCCGCCGCGACCCGGGACCCGCCGCGACCGGCGTCCCGGACCATCTCCACGGAGGGGTCCGCCCTGGTGCCCTTCTTCGGCGCGTCGTCGGGTGACTTCTGGCGCCGCGGTGGCGTGGCGGACGGTCGTGGCGAGCCCCGTTGGTAGCGTTCGTGTTCCTATAGTAGGGTGGTACGGTAGATATGGGTAGATGGTGGATAAGTTCTCCACCACTCAATTTTGGGATATGGCCAGTTTGGGTATATCCGATCATATCCCAGTTGGTGAGTTGCCCAATGTTGCCCATGCCGGAGTCTGTCCATGTTTGCCTCAGAAAACCACAAAGCTCCGCATGGTTGGGGCGGTCGTCAAGTCTTTTCACTAAGGTCAAGCGTGTTTTTTGTTGCCCATCGTTCTAAGGGGTGCCGGTGGGCCAAGAAAAGTAGTGTCTTGGCATGTCATGTCATCATGTCATGGCCAAGTCCGTTGGTCCTTAAATTCCCTCCGGCAGTCCCTCGACTGGACAAAGCATGAGGCACCCCAGCAAGCAACAGCTGCTCTCTTTCCTCTTCATCTTTCTTTTTTTGCTCCTGCAAACGAAGCATTGGAAGGAAAAGCCCTTCACAAGTACCAGTGAGAACTAGGCTCTGCACGCAAGTCTTGTGGGAGTCCAACAAATATCACCAGAGTCAGACTTCCTGTACGAATCTCCACCTGCTGCTGATTCCATTCAGGAAAGAAATCGCTCCATGCAGAAAAAGCACACGCCAACAAAGAAACTCAACCACAACATGAACATAAACGCGCAGTAATTCAACAGCAACAGCAAGGCTGGAGTGCTTGGTAGCCATTTCTACTTGTGCTTTGCCTTTGCCAGTCTCCAACACTTTGAACACCAGGGTTGCCCCTCCTCCTTGGCCAGTACGATTGCCTTCTCTGCGGATGTAGCCACCTCAGCCGAGGAGATGCCCAGGGTCCACTGGGTCTCCCTATGTTGCAATCCTGTCGTCCAATAGAATGGCTCGGAGAAAAACAAAAATGATGCCTTTATCATCCTTTATCTAGATTCCTCTCAAAAAATGAGAACGCTTTTGAACTTCCATGGTCTGAAATGGGTATATTCCATGGGTATGCCCATGCCGGTCCAGCTGTTCTGGAAAAAAACCTTTTCGGTGGCAGGTGGCTCCGCACCTTCTCCGGCCATGCCGTTGAAGTCACTTGCAGGTTACCCCGTTGGGCCTAGGTTTGATCTGTTAGCAGGGTGGAGGACCAGGACATGCCAAAATGCCCATTAAACGCGGGATGAGCCTATCCTGTTGAGGACGCAGCCCAGGCGAACCCTAAACCATCCTAAAGCCTTAAACCCTATGAGGAGGGCACCTCGAAGTGGACACCTCCAAGTGAGCACTCCTTGAGTTGCATTCCTCAAAGTCACTTCCTTCCCACTCCTCTCACCATCCTACCCATCCCGCCTCCTGAGCATTGGGTGTAAGCATCAAGAGGCTCACGAACTCGTCGCGATCCCGCTGCTGGGCGTGCAGGGGCATGGCAAAGCTTGTCACAGAAACGTGAATTAAGGGAACATCTATACAGGAAACAATGGTTCTCAACCCCCCAAAAGGACGGGCTTCAGACGCAGATTTTCCCTTAAACCAATTCATTGAAGAACACCTCGTCACAGAGTTCTCTTCTCGGGTCGGGCTTCTGGGAGGCTATGGGTATGGCTTCTAGGTGCGCGACAGTTGTGCCCGCTCGACGCTCACTGGCTGGGTCGAGCAGCTACCCCAAACTTGGAACTGCTGCTAAAACGATGCAGATTCACTTCAACATCTTGAGAGCTAAGGGGTGTCTATTGACCAAACTTCATTGGGTGATGGGATGTGAACTGTGAGCATCAAACCTGAAGGAAAATATCTCAGTCACTGAACCTGATTCAGGTGAAACTGCATGAAACCATATCACCTCAATGTTCTGCGAATGTTCTCAAATAAAAAACCAACAAGCTGCTTCTCCCCGCAGTTTGTGCAATTTGTGTGCTCCATGCTCCGTGCCTTGATGCGGTAATCGGGCACGGGGCACAGCAGCAGCTTGGGACCGCCGGACTGAGCGCTACGTCGCAGCGTCGGCCCCGACCGGGAGCGAGAAGCGTCATGTAGACTGTTGATGTGAACAGTGAAAGTCATGGTATAAAAGCAAGGCGTAGAGATGAAATAGAACTGTTGTGAATATAAAGCAAGGCATATAGAGATGTGAAAGAAGAACTCTTCACCATCGGGCAGGGTTGATCCTGTCTACATTACATCTACACATACCTTGATGGATCTTGATGGTGCATGAAAGTGGGCCACGCCTCGAGGAACACTCCTATACGGTCTATACTGGGGGGCGGTCAGACCGGTCTGCAAAACACACCCCTACTGGGGTCCATGGTCTTGTTCATCCATGGCATGGTCTATTGCTCACAGGGTGTTGATTTTTCTTGTACTGCAAGAGTGCGCCTCCCAATCCAAGCTCAATGGATTGGGACGTCGAAGAGATGAAGGGCAAGTTCGGCGATTCATACCTACGTGGTGATCCCCACTAGTGCAGCAAATGAAGAACAATATATGAATACTATATTAAGTTATTATTGTTCCTTTTGATATATTTGTTGATGACTTCCCTGCATGATTATAATACTTCCCGACGAGCCTTTCAACTACCAAAGATGGGGGGCCAAACATGGCCAAATCACCACGATTCCCATGACCCATCCCTAATCCAAAGCCCAGCACCAGTTTGGTTGACCAACACACTCGTCCAACGGCTCTGCACATTTCGATAGCGCGCGCGTAGAGTGCCTGGCTCTTGAGGAGAATGGAGTAGGGAATTTTGAGCTCCTCATCAACTTCATATTTGGTCTCCTGTCAGGCTCTGTCAGTGGATCAACCAGCACCTTTCCTGACTGGAGATCAACGGCTGGAGGTTGAGGGTTCACTGGTACTGATCTCAGTGATGTTTCGGACCAGTGAACCCTCCTGTGAATACCTGAAATCAAGAGCTCTCTCCCGGAATCTCTATAGTCTATAGTGGCCATCATGAAGCATATATGAATCCATGCAGACTCGTTCAGATTCTTTCCTTTGCATCCATGGTTCTTTCACCTCTGAACTTCTATGTGTTTCTTTCACTCAAATTTCTACCTTTCCACGTCACTCACCCACCCACCGCGGGTGTCTCGGTCGCCTGCAGGGAACCAATCCGCTGGTAGAACTTTTTCGTCGCTTCGAAGGCGGGAACCTTCGCAATAAAGCATAAAACACAGGGCTGTTATTGTTTCGGTGTATTGTCGCAATGAAACACTTATTTTAAATCAAATACATTATATATATATAATCAGAAAAAGGTACAACATAATATGATTTATTCAGATTCAATTGACAGTCATAATATATAATATCATCACTACCGATTTCCTGGGATTCCCGCTCGATTCACCTGTGGTGGTGGAAGCACGTGCATTTCTTTTTCTGCTGATCCAAAAAGCTTGGGTGCCATGATTCGGCGGCCTATGTTTGTTTTCAATACCAACCAACACCTTTGTGATGGGGCGCAAAGACAAAAAAACATGAAGAACCAAAGAATGCTCGGCTCATCTTCGACTGTTGGATACACTACTGTCGATCATGGTTGATGGTGGCGGGTGATGGTGGCGAGGAAGAGCTCCAAGTCTTCATTGATGCTGATGAACAATTCTTCCATAGACCTCAAATGACCTCAAGCATCCCATGACATCCCCAGCACCTCAATGTTGAGGGACACAATTTCCACGCTTGGCCTCAGAGGACAAGGCCGAATCGAGTGTTTCTTTTTTAGATGTGCATGGCACATCATCAGCTGTTCTACTTTGGAGGTCTTTGAAGGAATCCTTGAGCCAAGACCTCTTTCATCCTACTTCCGAAACAGCATATGCCGCATGCAAAACAAGGTACTGAGTATTTGTTGCATTGTGTTGCAACAATGCCATCAAGCGTGCAACTGACATGTGCTTTGCGATTCTTTTCCTAACCACAACAGCGTCACCGAGGCACTGTCTTCGTTTCCTCTGAAGTCCCCGGCGGACCCTCACGCGGCACCATACGCACTTGAACGCCACGAGGGGACTGCAGGCCGTGCAGCAGGAGAATCGGATGTTTGATCGTTCTAGATGCTTTGCTTCGTCGCAAAGCCTTGTCTGGCGCTTTCAACCCACCTTTGCACCCACTGAAAACTGTAG